TTCACTTCCAGTTTCTGTATCTACTGAAGTTAAACCAACACTACTACGACGATGAAAATGTATTCTAGGTGACGATGTGTTTGAAATTTTCTTAACTTTTTCAGTTGTTGTTGTTATATTCTCAGAACATGGTATTGCATCACATTCGGTATCGTCTATTGTACATTGATTATTAAAAGCAACTGTATTATTGCCATCCGAAAGCTAAAAATAAAATGATTTTCAAATAAATAAATATATTTAAAAAGAAAAATAAGAAATTAACTAATGAAAATTCCGGTTGAATTGTAACATGATCAATATTATGTTGTTTAAATAATAAACAAATATCTTGAAATTTACTAAATATATCTTCTGTTGTATTAAAAACAACATGAATTGTTGCTAATGTTTTTTGTGGTGTTAAACGCCATACATGAAATTCATGAATTCTTGAAACACCTGGAATCTAAAAGCAAATGAAAACAAAAAAATATTTTTTTGTTTTGTTTTAATTTAATTAACAGACAGATGTCATAAGTGTCGTTTCAATTTCATCAGAGTTAAGATCATGTGGTTTAGCTTGTAAAACAAGATGCATTACATCTCGAACTATAGAAATACAAAACAAAAAAACGAATAATCAATAGAATTTATGATAAAATATAAAATAATAATTATATACTTGGCTCAAAAATCATGAATAGATATGAAAGAAAAAGAATACAACAAATAATTGGATCGACAAGACGACTGTATAGAACTCGAACATGATATTTTTCCGATAACATTATCAATAATATACCACATGCTAATATAGCTAAAGGACCAAGTAACATATTAAATACTTGAAGATAAGAATGATGTACAGGTAATGTATCTGTAATAAGCACTAGAACAAAAATCAATAAGAACTTTTTCATTTTTATGAAACACAATCTTAATCTCTCCACGCAATAGAAGATCCCTTTGTTAATTAATTTTTTTGAAAAATTGAAACTTTAATTCGTGTATTTACATCAAAATATGCCTAGCTTTCATGGTTTTAAGTTGAATATCTTAAAAGACTGAAGTCAACATTATTTCTGAGCTTTTAAAATGCTAAAAAATTTCTTCTCAAATCGTTAAAATCTTTTTGCTTATCTTAACAAATTTCTCTAATTAAAAATTATGAAAATAAGCGGGACACAACAGAAGATCCCTCTGAAAGCTTTGTATGCTTGAACATAATAGAAGACTCGGATTCTTCTATTACAAAGAGGAATTTAAAAGAGGAATGTTGAAGTGTATAGCGGGAAAATTTGCCTCCACTTTTCTTCCCCCGAAGACTCTGGCAGACGCTAGTCAAAGACCATCGCAGACCACTCTCTAAAACAAAGGTCGCAGAAGGAATCATTTATTGTTTGTTTGTTTTATCTTGCACCCTGTTTTTTATGCTGAACTTGTTTTACAAAGATGGTTTAAGCGTAAGGTAAATCATTTTTTGGGAACGACTTAAATCTGGAATAGCTTTACGTATTCAATAATAATAAGAAAAAGTAAGCAACAGACGCCACTTAATTCGTTAATAATAATGGTTAATCAGCCACTTAACCATCTAATGTAAGATCTAAATTTTTCCTCTCTTTTTTATTTCATTGGAAGTCTTTCAGTTGGAGAAGAAGTTTTATTCATTTAGGTATATTTCAATAAACAATTCAATGGCAAGTTTTCTCTTATAAAATAAGTTTTCGTTGGATTTTTTCAGGATCATGTGAACAGTAAAGAGTAACTTTTTGGAAGAGAGAAGAGAATGTATGCTGTTGTTCAACCTGCGGAAAGTTTCAGTGACTACAATTATAAATGAGATCTTAGAGATTCGTTTCAAGCTATCGTAGTACTCGATCTCGTGATCAAGAGATTCATTGAATTATTTCGCTTAATTAGGTTTTCTAAAAAAAACTTTAATCATATCAACAGTACTCGACTTAATATATTAAATGTACTGGTTTTTTTTCCTTCGGATGGAGCCGGTTTTTTTTTTGAAGCGAGAAAAAAAGATTCGCAACAGAACCAGATTATGCTAAAATCTTACAGTAGTCGCAAGAAGTTCCGCTACCAGGTAAAAAGCATATAAAATTCAATCTTTTCATCTGATATTTTGACTACAAATAGAATTCAGTAAGCTTTGATTGTAAGCAGCAATCCGACATCGATAGACCTTAACGGAAAAGTTTTGCGATGAAAACTCTGGTTTTTACCTAGAGCTCAAAAAAGGCTTTTTTGGCATTTTTCTAGTTTTCCACTGTTTAAATGCGTTAACCTACATTTTCATATTAACAAATAAAAATTCGTATGTCTATCTTGTATCACAGATAGGATACCCCAGTTCGCTGTAATCTCCGGACATAGGAAAGTCTCCATTGCCTCGAATAGTTTCAGCAAGGATCTCTTGTCCATGGATGGCCACGATCGTGAAATTTTCAAAAAAAACTTGATTAAAGCAAGGTACTCATTACAGAAAATTTCAATATTAATGGCTAAAATCAACCGGAAATATAGATCACTTTTCGATGATTTTCATCAACTCTCATGTAGAGATTACCTAAAAATTACTTCACAAATTAGATAAACTAAAACCGATTGACATGGAATTTTTATTTAGTGATAGAGGCAGCATTGAGCTATCGAATGAAGAGTCTAACATCATGAGATTCATTTTCTCTGTAGACATATCTTCATCTGAAGAAAAAAATTACGTTAACCTTCTAGCTCCTCCACGTGAAGGCCGATCAATTTCTTATTAGTTCTTTCGATCACGATTCAATATGCTTTATTTATGGTCAAACTATAAAACTAAAGGATTAAACTTTAGGTACTTTCTCCGACTACTATGAAAGATTCTTTCTGATTAGATTCATGGAAGATTAGGTAAGCGGACGGAGAAGAAATGCGCCCCAGAATAGATAGAATAAAATATTCTCCCTGGGAATACTCGGGTCAAAAAGTACGGTCCGTATACCTTCTTAACACTGGATGGAGAAATACGGCTGTGTTGCAACGAGATAACAACATATATAAGACAGTATACGGGGAAAAATGGTACCGTGTACAATGCCGTATTACTTTGGACACGATCAGAAGAAAATACAGTCTGTTTACTGCCGTAAAATTACCACTTTCTCACCGTTTATACGCGGAAAACGGTTCATAAACAATATCCGTTTTGATTAACATAAGTAGTAAGAGCATCTGCATTGTTTTTCACATTTTAATCCTACAGAGATTATGCTAATAGCTTTTTATTTTTGAAATAAATAAGATTTATAGAATAAATAATCATAATTCTTTCCTATAAAATAGACTTTAATACATACATGATTTCGACAATGATTTATTTGGTAATGATTGTTGAAGATTTACTTGTCTTTGTTTTAATTGTTTATTAAATTTCCTTGAGCGTTTTAGAATTTTATCTATAAAAATATTTTCATATTTTTATATTACAAATCCAATCTCACCCACAAAGTATTGCAATGCCTAATAAACAATTAGAAACAGTTGCATAAATACCAACAGCAAGTATAAAATTAGGATGATCAATCAAACTATGTACATGTTCTATATATAAATTTTTTTTGACTTTTTGTACAAAAAAAAAATTTTTTTTTTGCAAATAAAACTTACCATGTCCATGAGCAGTATGTAATTTTGAACTATTACTTTCTTGTTTTGGTATTACAAAAATAACATCAATAATATGTTTGAGACTTTCAAGAAAAACCGAAACAGATAATGAAAGAAAACTAACAAAAGCAACTAATTCACCAACAACACCAACTTATTAATACAGCAAAAAAAAACAACAAATATATCTATTTATATGATAATAATTAATTAAGGAACAATTTACCTCGAGCTAGTCCATATGTATATCGAGGTGTATATGTAAACTGAATCTAAAAATATGTACAAACAAATCATAAACCAATTCTATTATAATTTTCTAACTTACTTGACGTGAAACAATTCGTACTGTACATAGAATAGCTTGACATAAATGAAAATAACCATCAAGTAGCATCACAACTTTTTTAAACGATAAACAAAAATGAAACGAATATATATTTTCTTCTTTTTTTCAAGAAAAGAAAAACTTTCACATACCACTATGACAAACATGATATCCTATAACTTCAAAAATAAACAAGCCAAGATTATTGGCTAACAAAGCAATGGCCAGAATCATAACAATATATTTGCAAACTTTTGGACAACTTTATGATGCTATCAATATTATAGATGACTGGGCATGTCTTGCCTTCGAATGTCTGTGGGTTGTATATACGACTGTCGATATAGTATCTATTTGCACGCAATTATGGTCCAAACCACGTTTTCTTTTCTCCTTTTGCTTCTTCTATGCTCTTTTACTATTTTTTTTCTTTTCTGTTCTTCATACTAAACTATGTTCTGTGTCAGAAACCAGTCATTCTCATCGTTTCTTTCTTCTTCTGTACTACGTTATGAAATATTATTTGATAGCGATATCATAAAGTAATATTTACTTATCATTATATATTATAAAGAAAAAAAAAGACTATTACTTAACCATCCAAGCGCATACATTTCAATGTATACGTTTTTTTTTATATATATTCAATCGTTGTCTCTTTTTTTTTCAAAGTACAATATCTTAAAGATGCGCGAAAATAAACACCAATAACAAATAACAGGAAAAAAAGGTTATGATAGAAAAACATACATATAGAGAAAAAAAAGGTGCAAGAAAGAAAATTTATCACACAACACATGACACGAAGTCCAGCTTCACAATAGAGTGGATCACCGGTACAGTGGAACAAAAAAAAAAACACGAACACAAACAATTGAACCATTCAACAGAGATATATAGACGAACATGAAATGCATCTCAAACACAAAGGAAAAAAATAACAATCAACAGAAATGCATAACTTTTTCTTTCAAACAACAAAAAAGAAAACACACAAAAAAAAAAAAGAAAAAAAGAACAAAGTCAATCAGGATACACTAGCATTACGCATGAGAGGTTTATGTGCAAGTGCTTCAGTTAATGGTTGCTGACTATTAATACCAGTATGTGCTTTAGTCCAACATTTATCACAAAAATATTTCCAACAAGCAAGTGAACGACAAAAATATTTACCCAATTGAGTACATAATTGGCCATTTGCACCACTACATGTTTGAGCATCAACCAAATAAGGATCTAATTGAATCTATTTAAATAAGAAATTAATGTCAATATAAATCTTAAAGATTATTACATTTTCTTGATACAAACTGATGAATAGGTCAGTCGCGGCTATGAAAGTCTTAAATTTTAATGATAGGAACTAAGATATATTAAAAATTGTGCAGCAATTAGTAGCGATGACTTAACTAACTTTTAGATTCAACTTTTGTCATATACTCAAATAACTACTAAAAGAAGTTTTACTTTAAGAAATCGATCTTAGACCAAATGTATTCAAATCACATGAAATTTTCAGGATATGCTAGAACTATAGTCGGAAAAACTATGCTATAATTTGCAGCCTCATATCATGACGTTTTCGGAAAATACTCGACACGCAAGAGTCGGAAATAGCTCATTTGTTCTCTATAGACGTCATTCTATAGCTTTAATTTTTTTTATTTGAAAGAACATGCCAGACTGCAGTGCCTAGTCTTTTTAATATTTACTTTTTATGCGAAGAAAAAGTACGACAAGTTCAGTACTTTGCAAAACAGCCGTCTATTTATATAAGTAATTTTTTTATTTAATAATAAAAAAATTTAATTCACAAAATGGACTCTGCAGCTGCACATACTCTTTCAAACAACAAAGGAAAAACGAGTTGCTAAATAAAGAATCATGTTGTTTATGAAAGATCAGACCTCAGGCTATATTTTCATCCATGTATTTATCTCAATTTCGATTTGTCTATTGACTACAAGAAACAAAACACATAATTCCTACCACTTTAGAAAATCGTTCACAATCAATAAATACATAATTAGCCTATTAAAAACAAATGTAAATATTCATTATTTTACTTTTTTTCTTTTGAAAATAAAAACAAACCGTCATAGCACTGAAATAACTGTGAATACTAGTAAAAATGACTCGACCAGAACCTGTTTAATAAGAAAAAAAAATTTAATCCAATAAAAACTCATTTATCCTACGCTTACCAATCGGATATTTATTACGATCAGTATCAATAGCCGCAAAATCAACTTCACCAAATAATTTCGAAAAAATTCGAGCAAGTGCGTATGCAGTCATCATACCTAAAATTGATCAAAAACAAACAAAAAAAAAGTAGATTTTGTTTATCTTTTATTTTTCATCATATACCATGCAAAGCTCCAACAAAGACAGTCGTCTTATATGGATCATCTTTGAGTAGTTCACACATTGCTGCATCATGTCGATTCGATGACATCCATTGTGCATCTTCCGTCTCAATAACAAAGAAAAAAACAAAATCTATTGGATTTAAATAAAATCATTTCAATACTTACAAACCATGGTATAAGTTGAATCTAAAATAAGAAAATGTCGAATATAAAATTTAATTTAAATATCAATATGTTCGATTTCAAAATATAGATATTCTATCTTTAAAAAACGGCTGATTTCACTGATGTCTACATTAGAGATATGCATGACTAGGTTGTTTTGGTCTCGGTGATATTATTTTTCTGGGCCTCCGTCTAGAGAAAACTATTGCAGAATTTATTCATATTATATCTAAAACAATTCTTCAATATTTGTTCTTTTGATTTATTTTGTTGACGGCTAGCACTTTTTTGAACTATGTTATGATTGATGATCCATAAGATAATTCGTTTAAAACCATAGAATATTTAACTATAGTCTTTAGTTCCAACAACTTTTCTTTTCTGTAGTCTCATTAAACTTCGAAATTCTGGTCTCTTACATCTCTAATCTACACATTTATCTTCTTAATTTATTCTGATCGAAATAGAATTTTTTTTTAAAAAGTTTATGAAGTTTTATTCGAACGAAAGATTAACTTACACTTTTACGTTTTGAAGCCGATCGTTGACTATTAAGATTAAGATAATATTCACAACGACCATCAGAATTACGTTGTGGTTGTTGACAACAAGCTAAAAGTAATTCATGTACAGATGATTCTTTATCAAATATAGCATAAGCATATCCAGATTTGCCTGAAAGAAAAAAGAAAAGAATCAATCACTTAGAAAATTTATTTCAATAAAATAAACCATGATTAGTTCGACGACGTGTTCGATTATTTTCAGCTGGCCATTCAATACGAACAGGGCCAAATTGACTAAGACGAGTTGCTAATTCACCTTAAAAGATAATTAAATATTTTAAATTAAAAAAAAACATTAATTAACAGAATTTATTCTTACGTTCATTAAGATCATGCGGAATACCACCGAGAAAAATTTTATTTGAAAGTGAAGGAGGATTAATTGAATAAGCACGTGGTTTAACAGGTAATGGTGCACACCAACACATATTTTGACTAACTTTACCAAAATGACCTAAACAATACACTATAAACAACAAAATATTTTCCTATAAATTCTTACGAGTAGCTTGTCGACGTTCATTTGCAGCAGCTAATTTTAATCGACTATCATCATTATCAATTGTGATACATTGCTAAAAAAAAAACCTATGTGTAAATTAAAATCAATAAAAAAATAAAACATTAAACCATTTGTTCTATTAAAGATGTTGGAGGAATAGTTTGATGTCTTTCTTGTAAATAATGATCATCTTCATATTGATCATCATCACCAGCATAACGTGCTGTAAAATCTTTACTCATTAAAAATTGAAGAAATTTTTCATCTGAACACATACTAAAGAAGAAAAAAATAATTAAATAATTCAAATAATTATCTTTAATAGAAATTACTTGAGAATAGGTGTTGATGCAAAATTTACTTGTGGCATTGACCATTGTGGTAAATTTGTTGTTCCATTCATCATCATCATTGATCGGTGTTGTTGTTGTTGTTCATAATCATGATTATTTGATAAAGGATCATCAAGTAAATTCCCTAATGCAGTCGGTGTACTAAATGAACGATCAATTAATGGATAATTTCCTCCTATTGTAAAAGTCTAATTGAAAATAAATAATTTTAATAAATTTATTATGAGAATAAAAAATGACATGTTATACTTACATTTTCTTTTGAGATCATTGTAGTTATTTAGTTTATACACTCACACACACACACAGACAAATAGGCTAAAACTTAAAAGAAAAAGACAAAGTTCAACTAATAATCACGTCACTGAAAAAAAAGAGCTAATAAATAGTGAGACAAGAAAGAGAGGGAAAGAGAAAGGGTTGGACACGTTTATTCAAAAATGTATAATAATTTCTCTCGTCCATTTCGTTGCTAATATTTCGGATGGACAGACAGTAACGAAAAAAAAAGAAAGAGAGTAAGTAGACGTTACTTGTGTACATTGTTGCGTCATCTAGATAGCTAGAGTTGTCTACTATCATCCCTGGAATTAAAAGAGAATAGAAAAGAGAAAATAGTAGAACAATATTATTTCGAAACTATAGTTAGCGGACGAGAGAAATTGATTCGAAAAAGAACGGGAAGTATATATGGTTAACAAAAAGAAAAAAGAAAAAATTTTAAATCGTCAGTTTCAATCTTTACAGTTGTTTAAAAACCACGTGTTTCAATAGAAAACATCAAGTAAACAACGTTTTTGTAGTCACACTTCTCAGTAATGAATGACGATGAGAATCATAGACTCTATTGACAATTTTTATTTCGAAGATTATCATAAACAAATTGAATAATTATATTCTAAAAACTAATTTTAACATTTAATTTTCCGTTAAAATCATGCAAAGAGAAGACTATTGAGTTGATATACACCAGTTCCGATTACCCGGGTCATCTATGCATTTCTACTAAAGAGTTAGTTTCTTTTCAAATGGACATGAGTAAAAAAATCACTATTTAAAAATACAAAAGTTTTAAAATCTGTCATGCCAAAGTAAATAGTACACTTTCCAGAGTAAATGAAGCCATTAAAAACTGTTTGGCATTTTTAATTTAATAGGTTTCAATCGAAATACAACATTGACTAGATTACGAGTATCGTTCAAAAAGTTGTGAAATTGATTTTATTTAAAAATAACAAAAGTTTTACTGTATTAGTATGGTTGTCTGTGTACAGTTCATACAGTCCTTGATCTGTATACGTCATGATCTTTGATTAGTTAGGCATTTATGTTCAGATATAGCAATACATTTTAGATCTCTTCATATACACTGGTAGAAAAGCAAAAACTTGAGCAAAATTTTGCGTTCTTGATGATAAGTTTCCACCTACTAGTTTTTTAATGGGCTCGTCCTTATAAAGATGGATAAGAAGGCATTAATATATGAACGATGTATAGTTTTTCAGGTAATATCAGAATGTGACATTCATATATTTGAAATGCTAAAAGTGTCTGCTTTTTACTGAATTGCAATTTGAAGCTTTTCGATGACTAAGTTTTTATCTATTATAATATTCATATCGTACACATCGATGATCATCGTCAATACACTTATTTGTCCATCTTTAAAACTGCAACTTCATTCCGAAACCGTAGTGTGTGATGGAGTGTTTTTCATCATAAACTGCCATCATACGTTCATGACTATTAGATGAAGATTAATCTTTCAGTATTAAAAATTTTATCATTAAAGGATTTTCAAATTTTCGAATGTTATATGAGTGTAAAAAGTATTGCTGTATCTGGACATAAATGCTTAATCGATCAGAGCTTATGATATATTTAGATCGAAGACTGTATGAACTACACAAATACTAGTGTTAATACAGCAGTACTTCGTGTTGTTTTTAAATAACATCAATTTCGGAATGTTTTGAACGACCCTCGTAGTATTCTGTACAAGTGCTATTTTGAAACAATCTTATGATAATTGTCCTATCTTATCCCGAAAGGAAATTCTGAACACACATTTAGAAAGAGCGAAAAATTTTGATTTTGGCTCTAAACAGTTATCTTTTAGTAACCAAAAATATTTTCTTTCAAGATTTTTCGCGTTATAGATTAACTCGATAGTTTTTTTTTTTCTTTAGATTTTATCCATAATTTCGGAATGTTGTCTTATGTTTCTTTTGCTTGATTGAATGACATTCAAATAAAAATTTATTAATCTTTTTTTTTTGGTTTTTATTATTATTTAAATTAAATAAAAGACAAAACATTGATAAAAGTAAAAACAATATACACTTATTGTTTGTTTCGTAATTGATTCAAATAATCTTGTAGTATAGTAATTTGAGGATAATCATTATCAAATGCATTACGTAAGATATTAACAGCTTTTTCAGCATGTTCAATAGCTTCTTTATATCGATGAAGACCTTCAAATACTCCAGCTATATTTGTATAAGTCATAATTAATGATGGATGATCATATGGAAGTGATTTTTGTTCAATTTCAAGTGTTTTATTAAAATGTATTAATGCATTTGAATAATCTTTCATTGAATAATATACTAATCCAATATTATTATGAGTAGCTCCTATTAATGGATGATGTTGTGGAAGATATTTACGTACAATTTCAAGTGCATTTTCATAATTTTCTAAAGCTTCTGTAGATTTTTCTTGTGCATCATAGACACCACCAATATTAATATATAAAATAGCCATTTCAATTTGATCAGGATTTGATGCAATAAGATTAATATCAAGAGCATGTTGAAGAATTTCTAAAGCACTATTAAAATTTCCTTGTTTTTTAAGAATTAATCCAATATTTGAATATGTTGAACAAAGTTTTGTATCATTAATTGATAAATAAGTTAAATAAATATTTAATGATTGATCATAATGTAAAAATGCATTTGTTAAATCATCTTTTTGTTCATAAATATATGCAATTTGATGATGTAAATGAGCAAGTTCTTTTTTATCATCATCTTTTGTTGTTTTAAGTAATGCTAAATAAATTTCTTTTGCTTTATCAATTTTATTCATTGCAAGCATTGATTTAGCCATACGATGCATACCAGTTTCTCCATCAGCAAATTGACGTATATATTCAATAAGACGTATAAGTTTTTCATCATTATTATTTGTTAATGTTAAATTAACTTGCCATAAATTATTTTCAATTTGTTTAATTTCATTTATTCGAAATATTGTATGCATAGGAAAAAGAATACCTTTTTGATGATTTATATGATAACTTATTTTATCTAATGAAATAAATGGACTTGATGCGATCAATGGATTAATATGCATTTGAAACAGAACAGATATTAAATCTGTATTATTAAGAGATTGTTTAGCAAAATTTAATGATAGTTGTCGATTAGTACTGGCAGAGAAAAAATTATTAAATGATATAAGTCCATTTTTATTTTTCTGTAATTTTTTGAAATCGATATTCAACATACCTTGACCACGATAAACAGTTAATGAATGTGAATTACCCATTTTTGAATAGATCTGTTCAATTTGTTCGTGAAGATCTCGTATAAAAAATCCCATTCTAATAATTAGTTCCGTATCTTGTACTCGTAAAGCTCTATTAATCATAGAATATGTAAAACAATCTCTTGTATACCACCAAATAGATGATGAACGATTATAATCACGTTCAAATTCATTAATAATTTGTAATTGATATCGATTATTAGCATATTGTACACGACAATATTCTACAAAGTCTTTTTTTGCTTTTTCATCATAATTAATATTAATTGAAATATCTTTAATTAAGTGTGAACATATAAATGTTTCATCTAATTCATTTAAATCAATTATTGAATTTGAATTTATAATACTAATTGGAGTTAAACTACGTTGACATAGATAAATATCTCGTTTAAGTTCATTATAAATAAGTTCAATTTTATTAAAAATACCTTTGATTTTTTTATATTCTTGATAATCAATTTTTTTATCATATAATATATAAATTGAATTAATTTGTGGCATTTCTTCGACAATAGAAAAAAATTCACGATCAAATAAATTTGATATTATCATAAATATTTGTTCATGTTGAATTTGAGAAAGATAATTAATACATTGTTCTATGTCAGAAAATACATTAATTGAATTAATCATCTTTCGAAGTTGATTCATTAAATTTTCATTCAATTCATTACTTTTCAAATCTAACCAAACGATAATAAAATTTTCACAAACACGAGCAGTTATTTTCGTCTTTAATGATTCTTGATTATTGTTATCATTATGCATGTTAGACATTCTATAAAATAATAAAATATAATTACATATTTAGTTTATTAAATTTTCAAAAATCATTGAAATTAAAATTATTGAATTAAGATATTCAAACAAAGAGTTTGTATTGATTTTTATTTGAAAACAAAGATTAATAGTTAAGAAACAATTAGAAATCGATAATGATCTATTTTGTTCACCCGTTTTTAGTTTTGGTTCAAATTAATTATTATTTAGACCAACTATTGCTTCTCTCTAAAATGAACGTCTTCAAATGAGTTTTTATACAACAAAATGTTTCAATCGTTCTTAATCAAGAAAAATTTTTCTTTTGTATTTTCGCATGTGCTCATTTTGTCCTTTGATTTCTTTTTTTTCGCAAACTGCTTGAATGTTACTCTCATTGTATTTTTAATAATAAAAATATAGAGTGACATGCAGGTTAAAAAGGATATTCTTTTCATTGGTCTTATTTCGATTAAGAATGTTCCACAATGAAATAATGAACAACGAATTGCACTTGACGAGCATCATAAAAATGTACAAAAAAAAACATTTTTTGTTTTGTTATTTCTACGCATATACGTTGCTTCAGCGGTTGTCAAACACTTTCAACTTGTATTGAATGTTGTTACTGATGTACAAGTGTTTTGAATTGAGTTATTTCTAAAATGAATAGTACAAAAAAGCAATCTGAAATATATAATACGACGTAGAACTTCAATGGTTTAAAAGGTACACTTGATGTTTTTATTTCAAACAATTCTCTACCTCATCTTCATAGAGACTCTTTCAAATAACATTTATTGTACATTCACATTATGGTGTCGGTGCAATATTTTTCCGTATGTTCATATAGCTCATAGGAAAACTACAATTATGACAATATTTTGGATTCTTCCATAAATCGAATTAATTGTTTGCAATTTATTTTTTACAGTTATTCCCATAGATAGA